ACACACACACACACACACACACACACACACACACACACACACACACACACACGCGCGCGCGCACACAATTTGACAGAGATCTAACCGTTTGGTAGAGAGAGATTATCCCAACATGTATTCCTCAAGCCATACTCCCACCCACACTTTTTCAACAAAAGCAGGTCACTCTCGGATATATCCGTGAATGTTGTGCAATTATACCGTCATCCTTTTCGTAACAGAAGGTCATCAAGATGTTCAGTATGTACGTCCGCGTGCGAGTGTGCTTCAAAAGATGGGGAAATCAAAAATGTAAGGTCCAAAACAGTTAAGTTTGCCAGCTTTGGGGTATTCTGCACACACCAAACTTTTAAGTGTGAACTCATGAGCCATGATCGATTAATTAACATTTTTATGTATTACACGTCTGTAGGCTCCACGCCGTTTGGCTACATAGTAGCCAGAATTTGCATGCTGGATCCACTTCCAGATCAGAAAGGCAGCGTAAACAAGCAATGAAGCAGATCGTGTCCTCCTCTTCCAGGAAATCTTTCCCGAATCTTCATCTCAGCTAGATAGGGAAGTAGTTCTCACCAGCATCAAGTTCGGCTTCCGCATTAGTCGTTTGCAGCTGATGCTCAACAAATATTGTGCCTGCAGAGACGGTGAACACATGAATGATGAATCTAATAATCAGTCATGAAGTTCGCACACTTCATAATCAATCACAAATTCCCTGCAAGTCCAGCGCTTCATTTTTTATTATATTTGTTAAATTGATTATGAATTCACAGCAGAAGTACAAAATTAATAATCAACTGAACCAGAAAACAAACTGCAATTTCATGCATTTCAGAAGGGGTTAGCCTAAAGCATTATTCCATCTGATTCAATCACGCTTCAAATTCATCAACCAGGATTCGAATTCATCAACCAGAAAACGAACTGTTGACATCAACATGCGTGTACCACTTAGTCACATGGATTGGGGGCCCGCCTTTGAGGCTTTCTTCTTGTCGCAGGCGGAAAACAAAAAAATAAGCCTCATGTACACCATCCGACCAATTGGTTCCTGGAAAGTACATGCGGACATGTCTGCCATCCAGCTACTGACCGCATAGTCTCTTCATCCTGCTATTCCCTCATTGGCTGCCCCTCCCCTTCAGACACTCCCTCTCTTCAATGCTATTCTCTTCCACCCATGTTTACCAGTTAAAACAAGCTCTGAATAGTCCTTTTCCTGTCGTTCTCCACGATGCCTGTGCTCTCGAAAAAATGCTATGCAGTCACAGAAACGTCCGACCCCATGAGGCCTCCTAGATATTCTTTGCATCCCCTCAATCTTTCAGGCGTCCGCTATGTTCTCTCCCTAACCTTCTCCGCCATCTCCTCCCCTCATTCTGCTTCTCCCTTTTTCCCAACTGTCAATCCAGCATGCTAAATAGATCATCTTGAAGCACACTAAAATGATTACCGCTCTCTCTCTCTCTCTCTCACACACACACACACACACACACACACACACACACCCACACACTCTCTCAGACGTTATCCTTTGCATTGGAATGATTTCTCCCCTCCATCCACACCCTCCCACACACACACACACTCTCTCTCTCAGACGTTATCCTTTGCATTGGAATGATTTCTCCCCTCCATCCACACCCTCCCGCAAAGCACATGAAAATGCTCGCCACCAGCGTCTTCAGTGTACTCCAGTGAAGTCCCCATATGTCGTACGGGGGGGTTACATACAGCCCGTGTGAACGGACGGATGGACAGGCGTACGGGCGAACGGCCGGCTCCCGGTCGAAGGTTGGCCCACTGAGGTGGTAGGGGGGGTGTCAAAGGGCCTCCCTGTATTTTATTTTATTTTTTCGGTGAAAAAATTAAAAAAAACGATAAATCCACTTTTTTTTTGGCAAGAAAACGAGAAAAATATCCATAAAAAATGAAAAAGAAGATTGATGCACTGACGGATTGATGGATTGATTGGTTGATTGGTTGGTTGGTTCTTTCCCCGCCGATTCTTCCAAGCCCGTTCCCTTAGCTGAGGTTTTGCAGGATGGTAGATAAGGACAGTGGGAATCTCGATAATCCATTCATGTGCATCACTAATTAGATGACGAGGCATTTGGCTACCCTAAGAGAGTCGTAGTTACTCCCGCCCTTTACCCGATGCGCACACACACACACACACGCACCCGCGCGGGTTCACACACACACGCACACACACTCACGGAAGCGGACGCGCGCGCACACACACTCACAAACCCACCCTCTCTCTCTGATACACACACACACCCTCGCTCTCTCTCTCTCTCTCGTGCGAGCTCGCGCGTGCGCATGCGCCCACGCACAGAGAGAGACAGAGAAAGAGAAGACCCACCCGGGTCCCACCGAATCCCATATATATATATATATACATATACTAGGCTACCAGCCGGGCCACCCGGGTCACCCTATTTTCCTGGACGGCCCGGCCGTGCAAGGACCAGGGAGGGTCCCAGCAAAAAAAAAAAAAAAAAAAAAAGTCCGAAAAAAAACTATGTTATGCAGAAAAATAAACTGAACAACTTTTGCCTCAGGGTCGCATCGAAATTCTTTACCATATTTAAAATAAAAAATCAATTAAAAAAATAATTTATTTTTTGAATTTTTTTCTTTTCTTTTTTTGGCCCGGCCGGGCAAGTGGCACCGGGCCACTCTGGTAGCCTAATATATATATCGTCACAAACAGAACTGCCCGGTAAAACCGTAGGCAGAGAGAGAGAAGAGGACAACAAACGAGGGGCTGTGACAAACTGTTTCGTATATATATATTTTCAAGCGAGGGGTTTACCGCCCAACCCCTGCACCCCCCGCGGGCCTTGGTTTCAAGAGTGCCCCCGGGAGGGACACGTACCGGCCACTATATATATTTTCAAGCGAGGGGGTTACCCCCCGACCCCTGCACCCCCCGTGGGCCTTGGTTTCCCCTGCCCCTCTCTCTGCCCCCCTCCTCTCAACCCTCCAGTTGCCCCCCTTCCTTTTGCAGGACCAGGGAAAGTAGGGAAGTGACTAAAGATCGAGAGAGCATTAGACTGAGCCGCAAAGGGACGCGCCACATTAGCTGGGAAAGGTACTGGTGGTTAAGAGAGAGAGGCAGAGGAGGTAAGCAGAAGGGGAAGGGACCAACAACAGAGATGACGGCAGCAAAAGGCATGTAGCCATTGCAAAGGAGCAAGTGAGCGTTCACAGATGAAGGGATTCAAGCACAGAGAGCACCTGCGCAACAGTGACGAGACAGAAACAGGGGAGGAGCCTAAGAAAGAAAGAAAGGGAGTTGGGAGCGTGGATTCAAAAGCAGAGGGCAAGCAGAGAGAAGTGCCGAGTAAAAGGTAGAGATACGACTGACAGGATGGACGCGGGGTGGGAGGGAGAGAGGGAGAGAGGGAGAGAGGGAGAGAGGGAGGAAGGGAGGGAGGGAGAGAGGGAGGGAGGCAGGGAAGGAGGGAAGGGAATAAAGATAGCAACAGCTTACATGAAATGGTAACAACAATTCCAATAACCGGTATCTCCACAAGAGCCGAAACGATGCCTCCGCCGACCCATGAGCCATCATAATATTGAGTTCTAGCATTGACCGTGACTACTTCCGCCACAACCCCACAGTAGAGAGACAAATGAAGTGTCAGAAAGAATGGCATGAGGAAAGCGAAAGTGAATTCACCGAACAAAAAGTGTGACAAACAAGCAACATTCGCAATACACGTAGCAACTAGATTAAAAAAAAAAGTTAAAAAAAAAAAAAGAAAAACTACAAATCCCCCCCTGTGTTTCCAAATCTTCAAACAAACCCTTCGATTGTTGTTCGTTCGTTTAAGGGTGAACAAAAGGACAGACCTACAAACGTTGTAGGACTGAACTAGGTGCTCCTCTGTATGCGCCTGGCCCAGCCCCCATTATGTGCTGCACCAGCAGGAGTTGAAACACAGACCTGAGTTTGAACTCCACTGGAAGCAGATGAGTAAAATATTATTACAATTCTGAATTACCTAGGGCCGAGCAGTTCGCCGATGATATCTCAAGGACGTCGTCACCAAAGGGGTATCGTGAACGATTTTCGTTGAACAAATTGAACAGCATCAAAGGTAAGACAAAACCTGGGCAATATTCTGAATAACCTAGGGCCGATGCAAGGAATGTGAGCGAGAGCATTACACAAATCCAAATTGCAAAATCAGAAGTAGCCCAGATAGTCGTGTACCTTGCAGAGAGCACAATTCACCAAGATACCATCCAAATAAGAGCAATACAATGAACTCGTATGTCAACGTCAACACTCTCTGGCCACACCGACACAGTATCCAATATCGCCCCTGCTGATTGGCACCCAGCGCCCACAGCCTACACTACGCCGCCTATCTAGCATATCTACACTCAGGCAACCGGATCACATCGCAGTTGAAGATCGATGTACGTGACGTCGTCACCAATGCAGAGATCAATGTATGTGACGTCAACACCAATGCAGAACGCCAGCATACACCAGGTACGTTCTATCTCCTCCCCTCGTCACCCGCTGTCTCCCTTCTGCATGCGCCTCCTACCCGAAGACCATCATCACCAACACCGCGCCTGTGCCCCAGCAGCTCGGCTCGGCTATGACCGCAGTACGCCCGCTGCCACCACAGCGCCCCTCTCACCTCTTGCGCCTGTGCATGCTGCAGGCTAGTGCAGCTACCGCACAGCAAAGCAGCAGCGTGGCCGCATTGCCTGCTCAGGCCAGGATGCCGTTCCCCTGGGCTCTCACTTTGTGTGCCCTGCCGCTGGCTGTCCTGGGCCTGGCGTGTGGGGGCCAAGTAGCTTCAAGTTGGCCCAAAGTTTCTGCGCCCAGGCCCAGTTTCAGATACTGGTCTGGGCCTCGTGCAGTCCAGGTAGGCCTCCAGGCTCCAAGTGTTTGCCGCATTCTCATTGGCTTGTGGTAGATGAGCGACGACAATGCTGCATTCTCATTGGTCCGCGGCCACTGCGTGATGTGTCGGCCTCCCACGGCATGTTCCCAGGGCGCAACCACCTGCGCCCTGGGCTCAACTGCACAGCGCAGCTGTTGCTTCTGGAAGGAGCCACAGAAGGCTCACGTGGCTCTGTAGCCGACTAGCGTGCTGCAACTGTCGTTTACAGAAGGCTCACCTACACTTAGGGTCCCACAGCTAGTCCCACACCAGCTAGTCCCACACGCGAAAAATGTTGAAACAGGCCTCTCGTGGATGCAGAGGCCCACCTTCACTTAGGGCGGGCAGGAGGCTTGCAGGGGGCCACAGCCCAGAACATTTGCATGCCCAAGAAGGGCCTCGCGAGGGCTCATTCCTCGCACCAAGCAGTTCGACAATGATATCTCAAGGTCGTCGTCACCACAGGGGTACTTGTGACATACTTCTTTGAACAAATCGAACAGCATCAAAGGTAAGACAAAACCTGGGCAATATCACAGAACCTCCAAGTACCCAACGCACGCAAAATAATGAATACATCCGTGCGAAAAATCAGCAGGGAAGAAAGTCCTACATGTGCCGATACGCGCGGGGTGCCCCTCAACGACTGACTATACAGGGCCTCCCTCCGCTAGTTTCCAAACGTGAGTGCATGTCATTCTCTTTCGAGTTCAAAACGACGAATACAATCGCCACTTCTTACATTTGGCAGGTATGTCAGCAAGGCCCATACGTACAAATCAGAGCTACAGTGCAATCACGGTTCAGCTTTGTCCAACTGCGGATTTTGTGAGCCATAGTACAGTTCCGATTCTTTCGAATAAATTCAATAAACAAACAACTAGAGGGAGAAAAGAGTCAAAAGACAAAAAAAAGCACAAGTAGGCTAGGTCAAAAGACAAAAAAAGGCACAGGTTAAGTAATGTAATTTTTAACCCTGCAATAGGAATTCCGAATTGGACCAATTCCAATTGGTTGCTCTTTTTTAAGTTTTTTTTTTGTTTTTTGTTTTCCTTGAACAGGCATATGGACCCTTGGACGTGGTCTCTGTTTTCTAAACCACCTTTTTTCGCTAATTTCTTTTTTTTTGTTGAAGTGGGTGTGGGGTGGGGAGGAGGGGAGCAAGGCACTCTGATATTGCTGTCTTTGCCCGAATACATCGCCCGGTAATTATTGCTGCTGCATCTGGATCGACTGGGAGTTCCATTCAGGTGAAGGCGGTAGTCAACAAGATCTCATGCACCCCACTTGCTTTTTTTTTTTTTTAGGGCCGCGCCACACTCTGCTGCAGNCTTGCTTTTTTTTTTTTTTAGGGCCGCGCCACACTCTGCTGCAGTGCAACAAAGAGGCAACGCTGGAGGCGTCGAGCAGGCAAGCCTACCCATATGACACCTCCTTAGCCCAGAAAAATTAACTTAATATCATAGTGGCCCGATGGACCACGGATCAGATATTAAACTGATCAGAACAGATACTACACTTGATCTTAGCCAAAAGGCCGAGAAAGGTTTTTCTGTTTGGACCATTTCTTGATTTCTTGCTGTCTTTTTTAGGTTTTTCTGTTTGGACCATTTCTAGATTTATGTGTGTCATCCTTGTGCTACTGTGTTTTTTTTCTGTTTGGACCATTTCTTGAATTATGTGTGCCGTCCTTGCGTTGCTGTCTTTTTTATTCATCTGTTTGGACCATTTCTTGATTTACGTGTGTCGCCCTTGCGCAGCGGCCATGATAACCTTCTCTGTACCGTTCCAATTTTAACAGATTTACCGAAGGACATACATGACTGTCCGTAATGTGCATGCACTATTTTTTGAAAACTTTGACGTATCAAAAAAATAGACTAACGGTCATCCACCCCTCTCCATCACCATCCACCACCATTTAGTACTTAACCCAGATACCACATTTTCGACAGGAATTGGGGTGCCGATGCTAGAGTCAAGGGGTGGTGCTTATTCTATTACAACAACACGAATCAATCAGAAGCCATTGCCCGACAGGAGAGAGGGATGGGCACAGGTAAAGGTGCAATTCTTTCAAGAGAAAAAAGATGGGCATGAGGACCGAAGGGTTGTAACCTGCATGCACCCACACCAGTGGCACCCACCTTGGGAATTGTCAAGACTGAGTGAGCATGTCGCTCAATAGCCCTTCCGGTAGAAGCCTCCAATGGAAACCCAAGCCTGGCAGCGACTCTCACAGCTCTTAAAATGCGGGCTGTTCATCAATCAAGATCCGAACAGGACATACCCACACATGCGGCATGGACAAAGAGCAACGAGAACACATGCACTGAGTGGCTGGATTGACCCTGCAACTTACACGGAGGAATTACGCTGTGCGTCTCCATCCTTCCCCTCCCTTTGATCGCAAGCCCAGACGGCGGGCGACCCACATCCATCAACACAGAGGTACCAGGTACCTTCAATCAAGTGCACAATAGCGCCTGCAGAGCATGTGAAAAGGGAGGGATTGAGGAGCGACAGGTAGAGATCGCATAGGGGAGAAAGGGATGGAGGGAGAAAGGTGGGAAGATTGGTGGGAAAGGGTGATCGGGGAGGTGGGGTTGTGGGGGATAGCGAGGAGGCCGAGTGAGCAAATGCACTACTATTGCAGCACCGACTAATTCACCACAGCCGGCATGTGGCGAGTGTTGCGGCGAGGCTCGGATACACCACCAAATGCAAGCTCCTTTTAACTTTTTACCACACCCCTCGCACTGCTCCTTCTGTCTGGACCTCCTGATATCAAGGCCGTGAAACATATATACTGTCACATACATCCTTAGTAATCATTCAATGAATTATTATGATATGTAAAACGCCGCAATGTCACACAAACTAACAGATGTATGCCCGAATAAAAAAAATAGTGAAGTACTCGGCTCTTTGCACACGAGACAGGCTATGTCTACTTTGGCTCTTTGTACACAAGACAGGCAATTGGCTATTCTGCCTCTTTGTACACAAAACAAGCCCTTGGCTATTCTGCCTCTTGTAGACCAAACAGGCTATTGTATATCCTACCTCTTTGTACACAAAACAGGCTCTTGGCTATTCTGCCTCTTTGTCGACAAAACAGGCTGTTGGCTATTCTGCCTCTTCGTCGACAAGACAGGATACTGTGCAAACAACAGGCTATTTGCCTGCTATCGTACCACAGAAACAGGCTATCGAAAAGAGAAAAACTGAGCAAACAAACAGGTAGAATAGCATCGGGGCAAAAAAAGGAAGAAATTTAACAAGCGAGTCGAAAGCAACAAAATAACAGACTCTCCCCCCCCCCCCCCCCCCCCCAAAAAAAAAAAAAAGGAACTGAAAACAGAAGAAAAAGAACATAGTCGCCTGAGCATACACCAAATGCTTGCCACACCATCCAACCATGAGGAGAAGGACAACACATGGGAAGGATAAGACCGATCGGGGAACGAAGAAGAAAAGAGGAGAAAATGGGTAGAAGAAGAGGAGGGTAGACGCCCGCACGAAAAAGTCATCGAAGAAAACATAGCATTATCACCCAGATGCAACAATATAGTAGCCATTACAAACAAAAACAAGTACACAAAAGAAGAGAGCCTTTTGTCAAAAGTATGCCATGGTGCCACCGCTGCAGTCTGAACCTCTATTTCAATTTTACTTCTAGTGGACAAGTCCTACTCAATTTTTCGCCCATCTTCATTCGGCATCTCAATCTCTTGACGTTAATTCTATTCTCAATTTCTTACTGCCAGTGCAATCTTTACCTTACATTCACCACAACCCTCATCTCAAATACTTATCCTACCGTTGTCACTCGAATAGAACGCCCGGGGGATTCGGCACAACTTTCAGCCCAGATACGGCAATAATTACTGGGCGTTCTATTCGGGTGAAGACGGTAGTTGTTATTCATCGTTATGCCAATGTCCATCTTCATCTCAGCCGTGCCCTTAATCGTTAACTGCAAAATGTATTGATAATAATAATTTGACATTCATCTTAAACCACCAGTACATTTGCCCAACCATCGTTCTCAGACCGCAAAATTCCGGCGTCAGTCTACCGGAGCAAAATGGCTGGCCGCACCAGCCAAAAAATATCACGTCGATCCTTCTTTTTTTTTTTTTCCGGGTGCACACCGCGCAAGGCATTTCCAGGCTAGGCAATTGAAGGATAAGAAAAAAAAAAAAAAAAAAAGTACAGGAAGCTTAATCCCCGATGTAACGATGTTCATATTCATGTCAGTCTTCATCTTGATCTTTACTACAATATCAATCATAACTTTTTGTCAAGTTTGGCTTATAGCTTTGTCGCAGCCCTAATCGCAATCTACGTTGATACTTCCATGGGGCCCATGCCTTCGTCTGAAAGACTCTGAATCGCTCCCTTCATTTTACGTTGATACTCACATTAAACTTCATGATCTTCACCTTACAAAGTGTCTTGCCTGTAATTACCTGGATTGTTGGACAAGTGTGAAAAGAAGATGTGTCTTACCTGGATCTTCATCAAACGACACATCTGTAGGAATTATCGTCCTGATCTGACACAGGGAACAGAAAGACCATGTAAACAGAAAAATAATACATTACTTCGTTTGCACAGCCTGTAATTTGGTCAATAAAAGGTTCACAAATGTGAAATAATTTCAAATAAATCATGTTCAAAATCTCTAAACAAAAACAAGCAATAGAATCCCAAATCTTCTATAAATCTAAATAATCATTTAATAATGTTACGTAATAATCGTAATTATAATAACCAGAATAAAACAAATTACTTTGTTTTTTGAACTTTTTTTACAAAAACTATCAAGAACATTATACTTGCTTTTTTACACAGATTATCAACGATTTTTTTATTTTTTTTACAAAGATAAGTTAGAAAACAATAAATTACTTTGTCTGAAGTCTTTGGAGAGCACGTGATTTAGCCGAAGGTTGAAAGTCTGAACGCGCTGAGCAGCTTTTCTGCTTTTATTGTCACTTCCAGCATTGAGTTATTAACTGATAGTAATTTTAATACCACTTTTTTTTATTGGGAAAGGTTGGGCAAGGGTAGAGAGGAGGCAAGTGTAATGGGGGCATGTACGGAGAGACAGATGACACCAACTTTTGGGCACGATAACAGGATGCAATGACACAGACAACAGCCAAAAGAAAGAAAAAAACACAAAGCAAGGTCACATTTTAGTCGTGTGCTCAGAAAGGCACAATGGCACACTTTGCAATGACCTGCACAGTTCTTTTTTTTTTTTTTTTCCCCGCGAAAGTTCAACATCCCCATCTATTCTGGGGGGCCGACGGAATAAGCGACCGGACCGTCACATAATTGACTCACATTTTAGCCGCTTATCACCGGCAAGCATAGAGCAGTGTTCAAGATAGAGGAAGAGAGGCAGCAGCAGATGAAAAAGTCCAGCCCTACTCCCCCTGCCGCAAAAAAACACTTCGCAAGGGGGCCTAAGGGGGGGGGGGGTCTTGTGACCCATGCTTGTCCTTCCTGTCCAGAGCTCACATAATGGCCCAGAGACATCCCTAATGCCTTCCACGGTGTTAAAAATCTGCACTTTTCTGAGATAATGTTGTCCTTTTACCTGACTGCTGAGATCTTCACATCTGCGCCTGTTTTGCTGTGTTAGCTGAGTCTGAGTACCTGCTGATGCTGTATGTGTTTGTGCTTGCCCGTGAAGTGCTCAGTCCCGGCTGTGAGATCTGTCTGCTAACTCTGTTTTCCATGCACTGTGTCTGTGCCTCAGCCTGGGGTGGGTTTGTGAATAAGCGTAGGCTCAAGGACAGGGCTGAACTGAGCAACTGGAGGGCATACCAGAGTTCGTACATCCGTCAGAGACATAAACATAGTTTTTGAGGGACCCGACAGAGATATCTCAGTGACTCCTAGGTTACCAGCCGTGTCCAACCGGGACACCCTGTTTTCCCGGCCGTGCAAGGACCAGGAAAGGTCCCAGCAAAAAAAAAAAAAAAAACATAAAAAAATCAGTCAATCCCCTTGTGGCGCTAGACACCTGAAAAAAAAGAGCATGTAAAGGAGGCAAGCTGGCATGCAATCCTTCATGAAAATGGACTAAGTGTGACTTGCTCAGTCTTGCTGGTCAACAAGGAACAGGTTACCGGACTTATGCCCCCTGGGATGGAAAAGGTCCAGCAGGACCAGCACCATAAGGACTTGTTTTTAATTATTAAAAAAAAAAAAAAAACAGAAAAAAAAAAAAAAGATCCGCACAGGAAACTTGAAATTTAGGCCAAAGGATACTTTTGCAATCAGACTCGACTTAGTCACACTTCATCATGCATGCGAACAGCGATACAGCAAACTGGCGACATGCGCCCACACAGTACTCAAAGATATCGTGACCAGATAAGAGTTCTCTTCCAACTGGCTATGGCGACTGTGCGCCCACACAACTCACTGTTCGCACTCTGGATCACCCTGGATGTCCCACACGCAACACTCAGTATCCATACACAACGCACACATACTCTATGCTACAGCTATGGCAGCGCTAGCTGCCACTACCCTAGCGCTAAGCTACGCTCCTCTGCCCACTTCGGCTATGGGCACACTGCAGACCTCCTCGCACAAGCTGCTGAGGCAGCGCTTCCGCATGGCATCCGCAGGAATGAATGAATGGCTGGACGCAGCCTCTTGATTTATACTTCTGTGCGGCGTTGGTCTGCCCTGTATCCCTTGGCCCACGATGTGCACAGTCCCAGACGGTACTTGCTTGACTGGACCGGACTGGGCTACCTGGGACTGCTGACCCTGCGTAGTGGACCTACACCACTTGCCCACTTGCCTTGGCCTAAACAGGGGCTGACTCCGAAAGGCCAGTTCTAGGAACCTCTACTTGGCCTTTCGGTACTGTAGCAGCTACGACTTTGCCCTTTCAAGTAAGTAGCAGCTACGACCTTGGGTCCCTTCAGACATCCTACAGCTACGACTTCGGAACTGTCTAGACTCCTACCCTCCAAGTCTACAGTTCGATTCCCTTCTAAGCTGTGACCTACGAAAACCTGCCTACCACTGGCGGTCCTCCAGGTCGCAGGTTCAAGTCTACGGGTTGACACTGATACTATACACAGGTAAGACGGGGAACTAGGGATCGAGCCCTGGGATCTGCATTCGCTACTGCGAACTGGTGAATACCGTTTCACTTTGATTACTAACACAAATCATTTTGTGACTTGTAAGCTGTCTTGCTCTAAAACTAGTATGTGGTTGACCTTCATCTTCATCTCCTCGGTGTTTCTCCATTCAGAAGGCTTCTGCTGGGGTAGCCGTTGGATGTGGACACACCATCTAAAGAGAGATTATGGAAATAGAAGGTGGAAGAGACAAGGTGGGAGTTGCATTGCCCTTTGTAACATGCCCAGTTGGGCGATGTACATAAATAACCGAGGATCCGCAATGTGATAAAAAGGACTGAATGGACAACGCAGTGCGGCAAGTGAAATCTCAACAAGCAGTGTACATTCTGATACATACAAAAATGGTGCATTATAGCGCAGGGGAAGACTTAGATACAAGTCCTGACCTGACAGGGACTGACCTCTATCACGTAGTGCAAGACAGCGCAGAAGAATGCTAGCACACCAATGACTAGTCCAATCAATGTCGCAACGCAGACCGAACATACATCATCCTCATCACAAGATGTGAAGGGGCCTGGCGCTACACACAGGAAGAATGCGCCAGATCCAGATCATGCACAGACGAAGAAGAGGGGGAGAGATGGGAATGTCGTCAACACCGAGTCTTTGCTACAAGTCCCAAATAATCCCTCGTCAAAATGTCTGAAGCCCAATGTCGAGTCTGGATCCAAATGTCACCAAGCCCGCTCTCTCATAGTCTGCTGATGCAGTGAAGTCAGGTAGCCAGAGGGTGAGAAGGAGATGGTGGACTGAGAAGAGGAAGAAGAAGAAGAACTCGCTCTCTCTCATATTCCAGGTACTAACCTGTGAAGATGGTGCTGTGCTGCAGGTACCTCGAAGGCGAAGCTGGAGCTATGGCGTTGCGGGTAAGTATCCCTGGCCTCCGCCCAATCTCTCTCTCTCTAGTACTACTCTAGCTCCTAAGAGCGCCCAGCGCTGAAGACTACTGCTAGCGCTACTACTACTCCCGCACCGCTCCTCCAGAGTGCTGCTGCCGAATCCTGAAGACTACCTCCTGCCTCCTGAACTGCACGTGAAGTGCCTGGGAGGTACCTAGGAACTACCTGCAGCCTGCAGGGCGGGCCAGTCCTATATAGTGCTGGCCCGTCCAGGAGGCTGCTCTTGCCAATGCCAGTCCTATATAGTGCTGACCCTGGCGCTGAAGTTCAACCAAGGGTTGTCTTGAAAACAGGCCCAAAATGGCCTGTGCTAAAACCCTGTCTGGTGCCTGAGTTTCAGGGCAGGTCGATCTTATGAGGGCCTGAGAATGGCCCTCAGTTTCAGGCTGAAAAGACTCAGGGCCGGAAAGGCCCTGATTTAGGCTGAAACGACACAGGGCCTGTAGGCCCCTGTTTTCAGGCTTTCAGGCTGAAACGACACAGGGCCTGTAGGCCCTTGTTTTCAGGCTTTCGGGCTGAAAACGACATGGGCCTGAAAATGGCCCGTGCAGCCTGTTGCAGGCGCAGCATGTAACACCTTTGAACATCCGCCATCACTACTTGCCACTGTCGAGGAGAGCAACCAGTGGCTAAAGGAGGGCTCTTTCCACACTGGGAATAATGGCGGGCTCTTTCCTCACTGGGAATAATGGCGATCGTTTGGACATTGGCTATTGTTCATTCATTCATTCACTCATTCATTCATTCATTCGTTAGTTCGTTCATTACATCATCTAGAGGGAGACTATGGCAGTAGAAGGTGGAAGAGACACGGTGGGAGTTGATGCAATACACAGCAACTTTCTCTCTCTCTCTCTCTCTCTCTCTCTCTCTCTCTCTCTCTCTCTCTCTCTCTCTCTCTCTCTCTCTCTCTCTCTCTCTCTCTCTCTCTCTCTCT